GTGGAACAGAAGTATCAGTATCAACAATTAAATGAGCTACCAAAAAGTTGGTTTACAAATTATACAAAGTAAATTTAAATTTCTTGTATTGATTAATATTTGAATGGTCCATCTTTGTCTTCTTATTTAGGCGAAAGGAAGATGGGTCAAACAGCGCCAACAATGGTACGGTATTATTTGGAGCGATGAGTCCAAATTAGGAGACAGTAAAAAGCGTGTGATTAGAACATTTGCAGAAGTCCAACTGTCTAGTTAAATAAGTTAAACATTTTGGATTTGTTATGGTCGGGGATGCATGAGTGCAAGGGATATAAGCTAACTACACTTTTTAAATGGCACTGTGAATGCAAAAAAGTATAAACTTACGAGGGTGGATTCCTTACTCCTTACACTAAAACTCCTTACAGTAAAACTACAGTGGCATATTTTTTATTTTTCGACATAGTCTCCCTCTACATTAATTCACTTAGTCCATCGGTGCTCTAATATCTCAACAGCCCCCTGGAAAAATTCCCTCTTTACAGTTTGCGTCAGTTCATCATTACTGGAAAAAAATTTCCCACGTAAGTTTTCTTTTAATTTGGGAAAAGCTTGTAATCACTGGGGGCGAGATCCAGCTAATATGGCAGGTGCTCCACTAAATCAAAGATTGCTTAGTATATAGCAGCTGGCAATACAAGATGTATGGCTGGGAGTATTATCCTCATAGAACAGTACATCGTTCCTTAACTTTTCTCGACGTTTCTCTTTAAGAGTGTCTCGCAATTTAGAAATCAATTGTGTGTAATAGGCCCTTGTAATGCTCTATTTATTTTACAAATAGTCTGTCCTTGAACATCCCAGAACACAGGCAGCAAAACCTTTCATTGAATTAAATTTGCGTGAAGGAGGAAAACCGCGATGTTTCCACTTTTTACATTGCACTTTGGTCTTGGGATTATAGTGGTGCACATATGACTCGTTCATGGTAACATACCGACTAAGAAAGGTCTCTTTGTTTGCTTAGTACCTTTCCAAAAGACGCTCACAAGTCTTTTTTGATCAATGGTTAACCTTCGGGGCACCCAACTTGCACCTATTTAATTCTTTATTCAGTATGTGGTGCACCATATGATATGATAAGATAGTATCTTTCACAATGTCCCTGATGCGTACCCGTCGGTCTTGCAGTACGATATCGTTTACCTATTTAATGTTTTTGTCTGTTATGGGAGGACCACCAACATGTTGATTTTCGCAGGATGTTATTCCGCATTTTAAATCTCATAAGAAACTGCAGACTCCCCACAATGTCTTCATGAATTTGAGTGGGCGTCTAACCTTTTTTCTCGAGGTATTTTATTACGGCCTTTTGTTATAAATGATCCATTTTTATGAACTATCACGACACATAGTTCAACAATTAACCACAGCAAAACAAGGCTGATATTTTGTAGATATGATCTACAAAAGTCAGTTAACTAACTCAAAAACATTAATCAAGTCACCACTTAGAAATAGGTCAGGGGCGAGGCATAGGGATCCACCCTCTATTTTAAATGATAGTTTGTTGCCATCAATTCCATATTTTCAAACCAAAGAACTGTTAAAAACTGGTTTAGAGAATATGATACGCATGTTCTAAATAGAATGGCTCTCCAGCAGCCCAAATTCGCCTCCAAATTCCAGCAAACTATTTAGGATGTTACTTCTGAAGAGGGTATTAAATTAGTAGACACAATGCCCATAGATAGGTAGCCAAACTATTATGATCCATTAAATTATGACATTTTGTTAAGTTAAATGTTTATAAATTTGTAATAATTCTCAGATACTTTTCCATACGCAACTTAAAACTTCATAAATACTGTTAGTTATTATGATTTAGTTTTAACAAAATATTTTTAATAAAATATTGTAATTGTATTTTCCCCTGTCCAAACTATTATCTGCTCGTATTGTCTATTTCATCCATTAATTCGGGAGTAGTTGACTCGACAGGGTATCTAGATTTTACCTACAGTACAATACTTTATATTACTAACTAATATAGACCGCGGACTTTTCAAACAGGACCAGTATAAAGTATATTTTATAAACAGAATATAACTGTAAATTATGAATGTACCTTAGTGTCTAAACATTTGAATGTATCGGACTAATAATTTAAAGAGATATCCATTAAATCTAGCGAAGATAATTATAGAAAACAATAACAACCGAAGTTTCTTGTTATCATCCAAGAGAAGTGCAATTTCAAGTCAAATCGGGTAGCTATAAAGTTTTGCCGATAGACGACTCGACACGTTTGCAAACTTATCGCGTTTCTGGGATTTTGGAAACACAATGAAATTGGATTTAATTATGAGGTCTTGCAATTCAGGGATGGAAGTGTAATATTTAAACAAGTCGATGCAACTTGTAGTTTATGTGTGAATTTGTGAAGTGTTTATCAAAATAGCCGGTCAAAACCTTTTTTTTTGTAGTCAAGACTATAGAGAGTTCCCCTCGGACAAGCGTAAACGTAAAAATAATACATTTAAAACAAATCTACAGTATCGGCTATGGAACTTCTTTCAATATGCCTTGCAAAAGTGCATAAATAAAAAAGTGCAAAAATTTCGCAAAACACAACTTCCAACGCATTGGGATTACTATAAACAAATAAGAAACTACAGAACAACAGCTATAAAAGCAGGAAAAAAGGCTTACTTAAATTTTAAATTTCAAACTTGTAAAATTTGGGTATATTTACTCAAAAAATATTTAAATTATCGTAAAAATATTGAAAAAGAAAATTACTTTCTGCACCCTGTAATTTCTTAAGCAAGCAAAATTCTACTAAGGTAAATTGGCTTAAATGAACATATTTTTGTCCAAACTACCCACATCTGAAGTTCGCCCCATTCTTTAATGAACTGCAAAATACTAAACTCATTAAATTTCACCAGAGCCCATTTCTTCAAAAGCCTGACTGGTCTCCGGGAATTATTTTTAGTTAAGAACAATTTATCCCGAAAAGCAACATTTTTAACAGTCTCGAAACAATAAAATTGTCACTTCGTTGTGTTTCTTTATACATCGCCCAACAAATTTTGTTGGGACTAAAATATTAATAATTCTATTAAAACCATGTTGGACAAAAGAGTTAATTAAAAAGTTAATGCCATAGGCCCGAAAGCAAGTTTTAATTAACAAAGACTAATTCTTGGCATCAGCAAGAGGTACAACATAGAGTTTTCAAAAGTAATTATAGGAGGAAGAGTCAAAGGGAGTGTTGAGAAAGTGAAAATTATATATAAAGAATTGCATAAATTTTCTCACTAATTTTCCGAAAAACAATAAATTAAGACTGTTTAAGTCAAACGAAAAAAAAAAAATGCTTTTGAGAAAGATTTTTGCCTTGAAATTAATATTGTATCAGTAATTACCATAGTATATAATAAATATATTATGAGTTGGAAACTCCGAATCATAGGCGTCTCTGAGACTTCCTGAGACTTTTTGAACATTATGATATCTTGATTACTTGTGATTTGGTGATTTCTGTTTCGAACACACATTTTAAAACCAGTTCGTAAACGTGATGGCGGCAAGCAAAGAGTACTAATTCCCTGTCTAGTTTTTAGATAGATATTTATTGAAGTAGGATAAACCTTATATACAAAAAATATTATAGAAATACAAATACAGTACACTTAAAACTTAAAGATAATTATTATTATAGTTTGATTTAAGAAAAATAAATTTGTTACACTTTACAAACATACTTTATTCTTGCGTATAGACAGCCTTAATTAACAGTACAACAAATAACAGTTGAAAGCATGAACCCAAATATTAAAAAAGAAGAATAAAAAAGTAATAATCAAATATATAAAAGTTAAAATCAAATTTTATCAGTTTTAATAAAAGTTGTCAATTTTTTTTTAAAACTTGCTAATGAATTACAATCCTTCAAGCCCCTGAGCAGTTCATTATATTCTTGGAAACCTTTATACAATAATGATGCCTGTGATTTCGAATAAATAACTTTTTTAATGTATATATCGTTAGTTGATCTTGTGCTGTAATCATGAATATCCCCATGATAACAAATAAATTGATGAAAGTAAGATGGATCCAAAGAATGAATTAGTTTATAAATAAACATAATTGTCAAATAGTACAACCTTTGCTGAATCGAAAACCATTGAAGATAATTTAACATTGTGGCAATTGGTGTAAGACGATTAGTTTTTAATATTATGCGAATGCCTCGATTTTGTAGTTTTTCGAAATCGCCATAGATATCCTCGGACCACTTCCCTTAACAGAAAAGGGGAACAGATACTTAATGGTTGTTATGAACTATTTCTTTTTTTTTATGGATAAACAATGTTTATTAATAAATATAAATTACATAAATATACAATATATTTTTAAAATACTTTAATATACTCACCTTAGGAGGAATAAACGGGCATTCTTTCTCGTTCAAAGTAAACTCATTTACTTTTCTAAATGTAAAGCAAATCTTTCCATCATTAAAATTCATATAAGATAAAGTGTGTTTTCGCCAGTGGCACCCAAATTCCTTTTTCTTTTGGCCTTTAATAGGTTTTGCATAGTCGAAATCATCTAATCTTTTCGGAAAATCATCTCTAGCATGAGCTCCTCTGGATTCCTTTCTTTGTTCCATAGAGTAAATTGCTTGTAGAGCGTTAATAAATAAATTTTGCAATTCTAAGGCATCCACTATATCTGTATTCCAAATTAATCCACGACCTGATATCCTTATATCACTGAGACATTTGTAAAGTCCTGAGAAACGAGTTTACATCCTTCTTCCAAAATTGCTTGTGTTCTAAATACTACTGCATGTTTCTGCATTGTTCTTTGAAGTTTCAATTTTAGTTGACCAACAGTTTGCTTGCCATGTGCTTTTCTCAAATTATCAAAATTACGCAATGAATTTTCACCTAAACTCTCATCAATAAAAACAGTAGATCCAGGACGACTAATCTTATTAATGCAATCAGCTACAGCTTTGCCAAAAAATTTGCTCCGTGTACTGAAACACAAGCGCATTCACCGCAGGCATAAAATCCGCCAATGATTTGGTCTTTATCTGGTCCCACTTGTGTTATTACTTGTCCTTTCCAATTCGTAGGAATTCCGCCCATTGCATAATACACAGTCGGTACTCTGGGTATTGGTTGTTTTAAAATATCCACACCTGCAAAATCCCACGCAGTCTGCTTTATTCCAGGGAGTTGCTTTAAAATCTTTTCTTTAGGCAAATGACTCAATTGTAAGTGGATATATTCTTTATCAGGACCACAACCTCTTCCTCCAAGAATTTCCATAGCCATAGAGCGGGACACCACATCTCTTGAGGCGAGATCTTTGGCTTTAGGAGCGAACTTCTCCATGAACCGTTCTCCTTTAATGTTTAATAAAAAACCTCCTTCACCTCTCACTCCTTCAGTTACTAAAACGCCACATCCGTAGATTCCTGTGGGATGGAATTGCACGAATTCTAAATCTTGTAATGGAAGACCAGCCCTAGTTACCATTGCAGTCCCATCACCGGTCGACGAATGTGCTGCTGTTCTAAATGAGTTAGATGCTCTTGTTGTTGTTCCAAATTAGTTTTTAGATTCTTTTGTTGCTGTTATAGATTCGTTTTTATATTCTCTAAAGTAGTTTTTAAGTTTTCTTGCTGCTGCTCTTGTTGCTGTGCTAGGAGATCTACTCGACTATTTAGCTGACCTACTCGACTATTTAGCTGACCTACTTCTTGCCTGAAGTTTACTTGAATTTGTACTAAGCCATTTATAATCTCTACCTCCACCTTTCTATGCCTCTCCTCCTTCTCCTCTTGTCGTTTTTCCCTCTTCCCCTCTTCTTCCTTCCTACGCCTTTCTTTTTTCTCCTCTTCTTCCTTCCTAAAAATCTTTATTGAACAATAGTATATATCGATTATTGGCAGGATTTTTTCATTTTCTCTTTTTTGTAGTTTCGGATAAAAAATCATTGAAAGAACGTTGTGTATGCCTTAAGCTATTTTGGTTGGTAATGACCATATACGTGTCATCAACTTGTTATAAGATATATATAGAAATTAACGAACCAAATTGTAAAATTCGTTATATTTTTAAACTTTAGACCATGAAATAAGCAATTTTTCAAATAAGACTCATCCTTAGCGCTGTTCCTTATTCGTGTTAATTATACTCAAAAGTCAACAGTGCTTACTCCATCCTACAGCGTGAACTAAAAATTTCGAATGTCTGTCTTTTACCTTGTCTGTTTTATCGTCATTAAAACTCATCTCGTCGAGACGTCTCGTTTGTATGTCGTCCTCATTAAAAATAATTAACGGGATATCACTGTAGAGTAGATAGAGAGAATATGGATGACGAGCGACTATGATCCGGCGTCGCAACGGCGACAATTCATTTGTAGAAACGCCACGTCTTTTGTTTTTTGAATTAAGGCATTAAATTTTAGCACCAGAAGCAGATCACATTTTTTTATATTATATTACAGGGTGCGGAAGAGAGAAGCCAATAACTCGTTATGGTAGAGTAAAAATATAAATTTTTGTTTATATATTAAAAAGTTGACCTGGTTCAGAGAAGTTAGAATAAGTAGAGGTAATATAAAAACTATTTTCTAGTGCGTGACACCAGCCAACACCGACGAATTCGTTGAGAACAGTAGGCATTATACTCGCTTGGAAGCAGTTACATTTTTTCAAAATCTTTATCTAAATCTGTAATCTTTTACATAAATTGCAATCATTAAGTTTTAAGTTTACTAAGATTTATTGATTTAATGAATAAGTTTATACTTTTTTAAATGTAGTGTGCTTTAATATCCATTTAATTGATTTTAATGACATTATTTGAACTGCGGCCCTAAACATTTGATAATAATACCTACTTTAAATGAAGGTTTTCTTAAGAAATGTACCTATATATTTTGAAGTCCTTTCTGAAAAAGAGATTTTGCGTTATGGAATCCATTAAAGTTCAATTATTGAAACTTTTACCTGTCCTCTCACCTCCCTCTTTTAATGGTAGGTTTGTTTCAATTTTTTGTGAATTTATAAATATTATTTAGCTCGTGAACTGCCTAGAGTAAGCTTTAATTTTTCATCAAGATTTATACATATCGTATGAAACCAGTTGTCTCGTATACCCAGCGTGGAAAAATTTCCTTAATTGTGGAGTCTGCCAGTTTTGTTGAAAATGGTGTATTAAAAAGTGATGAAACATCATGGCGCTATTCACATCGTACCTGTAAAGCTAAACTATACATAATTGGAAATGAGTATTTGATTGTCAAGAAAGATATAAATCATACCCATGAGATCAATTTAAAGAAAACGATTCAACAAATCATCTCTGCTAGTGTGAAAAGAAAAGCCACGGAAGATCTACATGAAAAGCCATCAAAGATTATCCACAAGGATTTAGTTGCCAATAAAAGCTGTCTTGAAACAATTTCAGTGAAAGATCAAACATATATTAGAATTATTCTTTAATTAATAATAATAAATTTTTATTTATTTCTGTAGACCTGTACACACAGGTATTGAAAACATTACATGTAATTTACAAACAAGACAAAAATGTAGGAGTAAAAACAAACATATATAATTCGTTACAAACAATACATTTAAAAAATTTAAGTAAAATTACAATAGAGGTATTCCTCAACAATATAAAAAGTGTAAGCTGACCTCTGTTACTCGGGTTGTGAAAATTTTAACATCATTTATGCATTTTATGTTATCCGGAACTTTATTGTAAAGCTTGATTGCTGTAATTAGAGGTCCTTTACTTACCATAACTAATTTATAGACCTAGGAATATATGCACCCAAAAAGTAGTTAAATATGCGCATATATATGCCGCAAAATACTTCAATATATGCGTAAAAAATTGAAAAATATGCAGAGCATATGTAATAAGAGTAATTTGTTATTTGATCGAAATAGTTTATTAATATTTATTATTTGTTTTATTTTACAATACCTAATATAATACTTAATAATTTTTTAATCATTAACTAATTTTATTTACAAATCAACATTATTATAAAACGAATGAACAATTAAATGTTTTTCTAAATTATCTGTATTAAATGATTGTCTCCTATCAGTAAGTATGTACTAGTACAAAGAAAAACTCCTTTCGACATCTACAGAAGTAATAGGTGCAAACTTTTTAATTAAATAGAACTGTTTTGGATCTGTTAGTTAATTTAGTTAATTTATAATTTCCGTAGTAATCCAAGGCTTTCCCTTATTTATATTAATATTTGATTCCATTGGAAATGACTTTTTAAAAATATCCACAAATGTATTGTAAAAGAGGCCAAACATTTTATCACATGATAAAGTATTTTCATTTACAAAACTCCAGCTTTTATTTGCTATCAAATACTTAAAGTAAAAAAAACGCTAGGAGAAAAATTTTGCCAACACAACCAAAAAGTATGGAAGAAACTTTCGACGCTATCGAAAAAACAAAAATTTTTTCATGTTTTACCAATCTACTGATTTTATGATAATATTTATATAAATGGAACATTTACATATTATGCAAAAATTTTTTTTTCGAATGTAGTATATGTTTTAATTAATGGACATTATATTCCCTTGGTTTTTTGTTTATTACCCGATAAACGGGAAGAGACCTACAAATGCGTATTCAAAATGTTGCGTGAAAAATGTGTCACTTTAGGATTTAATTTCAGCCTTAAAATAATTCATATTGATTTTGAAATGGCAATCCACAATGCATACCATTCGGTATGGCAGGAGTCAAAAATTGCCGCTTTTATTTAACACAAGCATGGTTTGGGAAAATTCAAAAGTTGGGCTTAGCTCAGGAATCTAGGGACAAAGATAGTGAAGTTGGACACTGGTTGCATTATGTACGAGTATTTGGTCTAATTTTTCTCGACCCTAACGGGGTTGGAGACAGTTTTGTGTTTGGCATCCATCCATCCAACCTCAAAACGAAAAAGTAACAAAATTTTCAGACTACCTAGTGGGCACTTATATTTCCTTCAGAATTGTGGTCTGAATTATCTGAAAGCATTAAGAGAAACACTAACGCATGTTTCATTCAAAATTTAAGAGAAGCTTTTATTCTACGCATCCTTCAATTTTTATTTTTATCGATGTTCTTCTAACTTTGCTAATTGATACATATATAAAAATTAAAGCCTTATTAACCTGCTAGAAACAAAGATCTGTCAACGCGTAACAAACTAGTTAATAAAAAAGTAGAAGAATATAAAAATGGTGAAATTTCCAGGTTCGCATTTGTAAAATGTTTGGGTTATTTATGTAATATTAATTAGTTTTTTATTTATCTAAATAATTAAGTTTAAAAAATGCGATTTTGGAAAAATTATAAAAGTCAATCAAGTGTCTTAAAGTTTTTCTAAATCTATATATAGTAAATAATGTATAAACGATGTACTGAAATGTTTGAATATCATGTTTGTTTAATTATTATATTAGTGTTTAATAAGATTAATATGTTTTAAAATAAATTAATTTTATAAAACACCCTGTATATAGAAAATATCCATAAGAAATAATGTATAACAGTATTGAAATATGTTTCAATATCATCTTTGTCCAATTATATTACTGTTAATTATGGTATGATTAAGATGTTCTGAAATAAATTAATTTTTTAAATTGCATTCGATCATCATTATTTTGCTTCAATCTTTTTCCAGGCGAGTTTAATACTTCTCTTAAACGACCCTTGTTTATGGGCACCCTTTAATTATTATTATTAATTAAAGAAAATCCACTCATAAATAATAACAAATATGCATTAAACAAGTCTAAGTTTATTTTTTATATAAAAATGCTCAAATAAATAAATTCTAAAACTATCAATAATAATATTACTTTCCGTTACAAGTATATTTTAACCCCAGAAACTGACTGACCTTGTGCGAGGAAGGGACGGTGACTATTAGTATTTGTTGTGGCGCTCCGGAGTGACTTACAGATGATTGATGGTGACATTTTGACTTCCATGTGAGCAAAAACCACTTAAAACCAGTTGTAGAGTATTTTTGGAAGGAATAAATTTAAAATGAAATTGATTTTATGTTACTCTTTCCACTTCGTGAAAAAAGGTTCTTAAATATAACAAGAAACTAAAAAGATTACAATAAATACATTGTCACATTTATAACATGTATCGTGGGCCAAGTTGCCAAGTCCGGTTCTGTTTATTTTAAAATAAACAAATATAGCCATTAAGGAAAACGCTATAAATTAAAAAACTTACCGAAACAAATGTAGGATTTCTTTATCAAATTTACACTTCAAACTTTTATTGTAAATATTTTTACAACACGCCTTAGCATTTTGAACGTTAATTTACAA